GAAATCGAGTAGTTGTGCTTTCAAGGCATTTAATTCAGTTCGAGTAGCAAATAGCATTTTAAAGTAAACCTGTCAGTCTTGTTAAAGTTTAATGTCACAGGCAATGTTACCACAATTTAGAAAGTGCATTCCTTTACCCAGATGTCGAGTTGTTCATTTATGGAACCTGGCATATCTAAGACAGCCTTCTTACAAATCAAGCATATTTGAGCCGTTTTGGCCCAAAGATGGCTCAAACATTTGTGCTCAGACTGACTTAACCAGATGATGAGATAACAATACAGTTAGACACAAAAACAGTGTGTTATGGGTTCATTTGTTTTTGTTTTTGTTTTGTTGTTTTGGATGCCAGAGTGAACGGTTGTCTGTTTCTCTGCGTTAGCCCTGTGCAGGACTGGTGACCCATGATGAGTAGTTAAAAATAATGGATGGATAATAAATAAAAAAGAATTGAAATTGATGTACTGATTTGGTAGTGATGTGATCAGATTTCAGGTTGGCCATATGTCTTCATGCTCAGTCAGATGCATGAAAACAGAAAAAAAAATATTTATGCCCAAAACCTTGACTTTAGATCATTTGATTACATGTTTTGTTACATAAAATCATGTAAAATGTTAAAATTTATTTAATCTTGTTGGATTAAATGTAACTAATTGATATATATTCTGTATAAACCAAGCATATTTTCATAATGGTTAAATTATTGAAATTAATTAACCACTGATTTTAGATATTTAATTTACACTCATTTTAGAATTACTGAGTACTGTGGAAACTTAAACATACTATTAGTCCAAACAGGCCACAAAATTAAGCTGCAGTCTCAGTAGATCAACTCAGGCTATCAAACTACTAAATCTCACACAGCATACTATTTAAGCAGCATCACCCTGCACACAGTTTCATCAGTAATTCAAAAATGGGAAAAACTAAAGGAGTAGGGACCAGGACAAGCGCAAGAGGACAGATGGATGGATGCATTTGTGTATTAAATCCGCCTTCCTAATAGCACCTCATGGTGTCGGCCTTCATCAGCGCATCTGTCCTGAGCATCTGAAACAACATGTCTGATCTTTTGGCTCCATCTAGTGGCGGCTCCATCTCTATCTCACATTCTTTAAATCTATGGTCTCTGCATGTAAGGCTCTTGCTCCTGCAGTTCTCTTCTGTCTTTTATAAGCATCTTTCATCTGGCAAGACAAAAAACACGACCATGTCTACTTGTATTTTGTAAATATCAACCACTTTGTAGTGTCTTGTTGGGTCGGGCTCTCCTTCAGCAATAGTGGACGATCTCTAATCACCTAAGAAAATACATCCCCACTTCCAAAAACACTAGCACACTGTGTAAAATATAAATAAAGACAGAATGATCTGTAAATCTTAAAAATCCACATTTTATTGACAATTCACATTTAACTATTTAGAAAAAAAACTATTCATTTTCAACTGAAACAAAAATGTTAGGAAAGAGCAAGAATAGGTTGGAAAAGTAAGTAGTACTACAAAGAAACAGCTCGAGGAACGTTTTGCTGTCATTTATGTTAAATGACAACAGGTCAGTAATGTGGTTGGGTATAAAAGAAGGATCTCAGAGAGGCAGGGTTTCTCAGAAGTAAAGATTGGCAGAGCTTCACTCAACTGCAAAAAAAAAAGCATCCCCAAAAATGGAACAACTTCAGAATAATGCTCTCCAACAAAAAAAGACTTATCTCAAAAGAATATCTCATAAAGTGTATTATATCATCACTAGATCTGTAGAAATCTGTGTGCAAGGTCAACAATCAACACTGGGTGATGATTTTGGGGATTTCAAGTGGCATTAGGTGGTATCTCACATGCATTAAAAACAGGCATGATTCTGTCACTGAAATCACAGAAATCACTGTCTGTGGACACAGTTCACCATGCCATCCATAAAACTCTGCTGAAATGTTATCACGGCATATTTCACCAATGCTTACCAAAGCTTTAATGCACAATATCAAAACAGAGAAGAGACAGGTGTCGAGAGATCCTCCAGTATGTCCTCTGACGACTAAAGATGGTGCACAAACTGCATTAATGAAGCCAGTGCTTTACTGTGGATGTGCGGCCTACATGCCAGCGTCACCATCAAAACCTGGCTCCTGAGAATCACCTCCAGTATCAGTGATGCAGTCAGCATTCATGGCTTTCTTACATGAAATACTCTTGAAATGACCATTTCAACCAATGAAACAAACTGTTAATTTATTTCATCACCTGGGGGAAAAAATTGTTTGAGTGCACAAATGTTATAAGGTAATATACAGTGCTGTGAAGAAGTTTTTAGTTTTTGTGTATTTGTCACACCTTAAATGTTTCTGGTCATCCAATAAATTGTAATATTAGACAAAGATAAAACGCAGTTGATACAAACTGCAGTTTTGAAATGATGATTTCAGTTACTAAGGAAAAAAACATATCCAAGCCTGTGTGAAAAAGTAATTACCACCTAAACAGAATAACTGGTTGTGCCACCCTTGGCAGCGAGAACTGCAATCAGACATTTGTAATAACTGGCAATGAGTCTTTCACAAAGCTGTAGAGGAATTTTGGCCAACTCTTTTTTCCAGAATTGTTCTACTTCAGCCACATTGAAGGGTTTTCTGTTTAAGGTCATGCGTCTAAAACTGCTCTGACTTTGATGAGGCCATTCGACAACCTTTTTTTCAGAGGTGAAGTTGATGGTGTGTTTCAGATCATTGTGCTCCTACATAACCTGAGTGTGCTTGAGCTTCAAGGTACGAGCTAGTGGCTAGCTATTTTCCTTCAGGATTTTGTGGCAGAGAGCAGAATTCATGGTTCCATGAATTACGACAAATTGTCCAGGTCATCAAACATCAAAGCAGCCTCACACCAATTACTTTTTGATACAGGGCTGGGTACATTAGGGTGGCTTTTTGTTTTTTCTGAATGAATGAAATCATTTAAAAACTCAATATTGTGCTTACATTTTTATTTTTAATAAACCTTTATTATACAGGTAGACCCACTGAGACTCAATGTGTCATTTAGAAGCAAGACCTGTTCCAGACAAAAATATTAAACTTACAACAACAACAGAAACAATAAAATAGCTAAACGTGTCTAATGTACACAGTCATATCAAAGGCAAGAACAAGTTCCCAGTGATGATTTCACAAAAACATTAGTTCGTCTTTTAAAGTCTGCAAGTGGAATCAGTTGAGAGAGCTTCAAATCCTTCAATAATGTGAAGACAGGGCAGAAAAGGAGAACACCTTCTTTCCATGCTCTGTATGAACTGGTGGAACAATGAACGTAATGATGTCCTGAGACCGCAGTCTATGACTAAACTGTTTGTGTAACATGCACTCTGATAAATAAGAGGGCAGTAAACCAGAAATAGAGTTATACATAAAGTGATACCAATGAACCGTCCAACGTAAAGCCAATGAGGACCAGTCAACAAGAGAATATAAAGTACAGTGGTGTGTTAAAGGTTTCTGGCCAGTTATAAATCTTAATGCCCCATGATAGACAGAATCCAACAGATGAGCACAGGCATTCATGTAAATTATATCACCGTAATCCAGGAGGGGTAAAAAAGTGGCAGCAACAAGTCCTTTCCCTGCCGTGAAAGAGAAACATGATCTGTTTCTGAAAAAGAACCCCAGCTTCACCCTCAGTTTCTTTATTAGGTGGTCAATGCATAGCTTAAAGGAAAGATTGTCATCAATCACAATGCCTAGGTATTTGTATGACCCCTCAGTTTCAATGGAAATGCCTTGAGCAGATACATACCTCCTCTACCATAAAGGGTGTAAAGGAAAAAGTATTAGTAACTGAGGAACTGCCAGCAGAGTTGTATATGTATGTGCTACACAGAATAAGAAGCAACAAAGTGTTTGCTACAACAATTGAGAGTTTTGGTTTTGTCTGACACAGGAGTGGAGTTAATAATTAAGTGAGGAGGTAGCTCTGTGGAATGAGAGCTGACAGAGAGACTTTATAGCTTGCCAAAACCTCACCACCTAGGGTCATTTCGAGTGTCAGTGGTTAAAGTCAATAAGTAGTCACAGTTGACCTTTCTGCAGCTGATGAAAAAGTGGCCAATCACCATCAGAATCTGACCTCACAGCTGCCCAGGCCTGGTTTCTCTCATGTAGGAGACCAGCCAGTTCAGAACTGAACCAGGGGCCCACCCGACCTTTAACTGACCTGACAAAAGGGTGCATGTTTGTCCACAAAGCAGATAAAACTCTCTGGAAATATTTCCAAGCTAAATCGACATTGTCAATCAATGTAATACGACACCAGTTAAAACTGAAGAAGTTATGAAGAAAAGCTTGCTCACTGAAAACTCTTTAAATTTCTTTTTGTGATGATGCGGGGCTTGGAGTGTGAGATTTTAATGCTTCCCACAGCACCAACTATGCCTGCTTAATGGGGTTGAAACCATCAGTTGCGTTTGTGCAGAAGTCAGGTTGGCACACAGCTGACAACCTTATTCCATATTATTACAAGAAGCAGTCACCTAAGTAAAGAGAAATCACAGTCCATTATTACTTAAGTTCAGAAAGAGGGTTCCAATAGCAGACACATCTGTGCTAATCAGTCCTTTATGGTCAAATAGCTGCTAAGAAATCACTACCAAGGAAAAGCAACAAACAGAGATTTGTTTGGAGCTAGGAAAAACAAGGAATGGGCATTAGACCAGTGGAAATTTGTGCTTTTGTCTGATGAGTCCAAATTGAGATGCTTCCGTCTTTGTGTGACGCAGAAAAGGTGAACGGATGGTCTCTACAAGCATGGAGGAGGAGGTGGGATAGTGTGGGGGTGCTTTGCTGGTGACACTGTTGGGGATATATACAACTTTATAACAAAAAGCAGGTTTTTTTTTCATCCTTTTGTTATATTCCTCCCTAAGCGCCTGTCCCACACTCCAGCCCAGTTGAGGGCGGTAATAGACTTTAGTATACGCTTACCAACCCTTATTAAACACAAACGAAGAAGAAGCGGAAACGGAAAAAGCAATTTGGCGTGTTGTAGCTAACTTATCAGCACCTCATGCTATTGTAATTAAAGCTCCTCTAACATTTAACATGAATAAGCTAGGTCAAGCACAAGACTTTGAGTCATATGAGATCGAAGAGCCGAGCGACGAAGAGCGGGCCGCCAGCAGGTGCGAGGATAACACGGGTGTTTATTTTTAGGGGCCAGCGCAGCTTTGGCTTTGGGAGGCTAAAGTGCAGATAGCTAGCTGGGAGCTAACATGTAAACAAACTAGAATAGCAGGGAGACTGCGCTGAGCCCCTCTTTACGGTGAATTTATTTTAACGTGACATGGATGTTAATGCTTAATTATGTTTATAGAAAGGCGGCAGATTTTTATAAGTCTAAATGTTGCAGGAAAGCGGGTGAGAAGAAAATAAAATACACGAGTGTAGATGCTTATTATTGCCCTAATTAGCCAAGAATATTCTGGATTTATTATTATGGCGCTAAATTGGAGAAAATTAAGCAAGAAGTCATAATTATTAATAGTTATAAGTGATGTCTTGCGATGTCTTGATGTGTTCAAAAGAACTTGTCTACCTGAAGATCTGAAGTTTATTCATTATTAAAGCAGCAATATGTATGTACCGATGGATGTAGTGAGTACAGGCAACTTATTTTGGTTTTGAGCTAAGCTTAAAGCGACAGTTTCGACGTGGATTCTTGGTTTTCAAATTAAGTGCTTAATTATTTGGTCTTTTAAATACTATACGATACCACTACATGATATAATGTCACATGTGCAGAATAACATATGAATGTTTACTTCAATTTCTTAATCTTCTGGGTTTGGGAGTCTGTGTTTTTTGTTTTTTCCCTGAAAACTTTCTCTCTGTTTCAGTTCGGAGGATGAGCTGGACGTGCTCCTGAACGGGACTCCGGACCAGAAAAAGAAGCTGATCAGAGAGTATCTAACTGGGGAGAGCGAGTCATCCAGCGAGGATGATTTTGAAAAAGAGATGGAGGCAGAGCTCAGCTCCACCATCAAGACCATGCAGGGAACCTGGGGACCAGCAGCAGGTAACACCCAGCTGCTAGTATTTGTATTTTCTTAGTGATATGTCTGGATTTACTTTTCTATCAACTGATTAGATGGCAGAGGCAGACAGCATATTTTTTTATATCCGCGCGTGCAGATCACCAACATTGGCTGACAATTGTCACTTGTGTACTTTCTAATAATTTGGGCATGCTTGGCGGGATATTAAGCAGGCTTACAGGCAATGTGAAACGAAACGATTTGAACTCGTGTTAGATAGAAGCCGCGTATGTGTGCGGGAATGTAATTGATTTATTTATTTTATGACAAGGATGCAAAGCGAGTGTGAGATTTGCTACTGTAATGCGGATTCAGAGAGACAGAGAGCCGTTGTGGGATGAAGGTGGGGGAAGGTAGCTTCTCGTCTGTGGCGGGCTCTCGCAATCCTTCCAAACCCTCCAAGAACGTTGATAAGCAGATCCCTGAAATGAAATCTTCCTCAGCACCCGGCTGGATCTGCCCCTAATCGTTTTATTTACAGTCACTATAAAAGACGCCTCCCTTTTAATGGTGCTCTGAAATAATAGGCAACCGAGGAACAATCGGTACAGTCCTAAGCGCATTCCCCCATTCCATTTTCACATTAGGCTAATCGAGGCGAGGGGAAGGATATAAAGACATCAGTTGGATGAAATGAGTGTAATTGGAGAATAATGTAGTTAGTTTGCTCTAATCTTCTGCATAATATTAAAATGTTCTCAATGCACCCCAGCTGCAAGCAATCACCCCACTCTGAGGGGAAACCTGGGCGACACTCTTTGGAGTGAGGAAGGATTGTGCGAGTGAGAGATTGAGGAAGAGATATATCAGAGAGCAGGGAAAGGAACGCAGCAGAAACAACTGGAGGCTTCAGTAGGAAGTCCAAGAAACTGTCTGTGGAGGCCTTTGCCTAGATAAACTCAGCCTTCCTCTGTCTTTTCCCTGTCATGGAAAAGCAATCCTTGCACCCTGCTGATGGCTGGCTAATTTGTACCGGGGGCTTGTTGTTTGCCAAGACTGGTTATGGTGCTGTTGAAATCAGGAACAGTAGGGTCCAAAACTGTCAGCATGGGTTTCGGAGGTTCATTTTCTCCATGCTGAGTACAGCCTGGTACAGCCTGACTTCTGTTTTTTTCCCCTCTTCCTGCCAAAATAGATCCTACAGTACACCAGCTTAAAATGGAACCAAAATCTTCTAAGCACTCGAATTCATTTTAAACATGTTCACAGTAACTGAGGTAGAATGAGCTGCTTTGTGCACGCAGTGAGAAATGATTTGAAATGATTAAAATTCTTCAAGTGTAAAAACATCCACAGCTACATCTATTACATTTGCTGAAACTTTAATAGGCTTGAGATTGGAAACGGAGAGGTCATCAGTCAGCTGTTCACAATGGTCTCTTACACATACCACCATATATTTATTTTAAAATGACCATTGCCTCCAAAGCTGAGCCAAGAAGGCTAAATGAAGTTTTGATCATCCTTCTCTAAACAATTAGGGCTCTGGGGAAGTTGTAGTGTAAGCAGTCACAGCAGTAGCCTCACAGTGGAATTAAGAGTGAGGTTTATTAGTCCCCCTTTGGCTTAGCCTTGTCTGTGATTTCAAGTAGAAAAAAAAAACTCGCTCTGAGGCAGCTCTTTAACTGCTGTTATTGTGCAAGAAAATTGTCATTAGACAGTGGAACAAATAACCTCGAAACGTCATGGGTGTCTTTGCGAGGGATCTAAAACAACAACAAAGAATTAATCAAATTAAAAGGAAGCCTTGTTATGCGATTTCAATTTAATTTCCACAACCAAGCCCTCTATTTAGTGTTTGAAAAAACCTAAAAAGGGCAAGTCACAGTTTAGGGCTCAGTAACAGTTTTATATTAGTAAAGAATTATCAATCCTTTAAGCTAATTTGGATAGGTTGGGGAGCCATAAAGTGGGCTATGAAATGGAGTAGCCTATTTGTTAAGCTCCCACCCCCTTCCACACTCTTTTTATGCCACCGGGGCACTAATACACTTTTGTTTTTCCTTGTTGATCATCTGCCATTTAAGGCACATTAAATCCTGCAAATTAATATAAATCTATGGAAGCTATTAGCGAGTTCCACTCTGCATCAGACAGCCAGAAAGGCCTGCCTTTGTAACCGGGAGTATGTCTTAAAATAGCTAAAAAGACGTCTGCTGTCAACTTTGCTGTATATAATACGCTGGACTTATTGCATTGTTTCAGGTAAAACGCAGCAGTGTAAACTTTCAAAATGTCTTGGCAAACTCTTCGCCTTCTCCTTGTCTTTTTCTTCATCTCCTCAGCGCTTTCTCAAGGTTCTCCCTTCTGCATTCTCCCAAATCCTCTCCACTCCTCTTTTCTTCTTTCCTCATAGGCAAGCAGTTTAGGCAAGTGCCATATGCCCTGATTAAAGCTAGCGGCAGGCCAAGGAGCACAGGGAGGCTGTTTTGTCATTAGCCCCTTGCGCGGCTGAGGTGGAAACTCATTTAGCCCCATGCTGGACCTTCATTATGATAGACTTGTATCAGATGGCATGTCTGGCTGGGATCTCTGGCTCCTGGCTAACGGATGGGGAGATGCTGCAGCTTCAGCCCCTCTCCAGCCCCAGCAGGAAGAGAGAAAGGGCTTTAAATGGAGATAGGGCTCGAGGAGAATGTTTGTTGTGGGGTAATGGGAAGGGAATGGGGAGGAAGGGACAGAGCAATGACTGAGTGATCCAGGGGAAAAGGAACAGGTCGGACCTGGGGTTAAAGGTTATAGGTCCTCGAGGTGGCTCTCAACACCGGAGAACTAAAACAGTAAGAAAATATTCACTGAAAGCGACTTCACTTGTTTGTTGTTATGGTTTGCTCTTACTAGAGGCACACTACAGCAACAGCTGTTTCACTGCTGCATTTATTTGGTGCTTGTAATATGAACAAATAAAGCTGGTGTAAATCAGAGACTGAGGTGGAAAAGAGGAATGAAGTGGGAGCAGCAGGTGAAAAAAAAAGTGCACACATCAAAGTGCCTGCGAGGTGATCTCACTTGTTATTAATTAACTGACAAGTTAATCATTCTTACCATTTTATGGGCTATTGACGGCTGAGACAGTAGCTCAGAATAATTGAAGTGTGTAGCTAATGAAATAGCTACAGAACAGTCTTTCTTTTTCTTTTTTTTTATCTGTAAAAAAAATCTAAAATGTACTGAATGTTGAACGGGGGTCACGCTGCACCTCGTTACTCTAAGCATGCAGGTTTTATTCACGTTGCTTCCACGTCCTTGTTATCACTTGCATACTGATGTAATTTCCAAGTAGCATCAGGTTTTCAGTTCCTGGAGGTCAGATCTCTTTGTTGTGCCTGTTCAGCCATACTGGACACTTGCTATGACTTCATAGTTACTGGTGAACATTGATGATGGCATTGTTGAATTTTTAAAAAGGCATCACTTCCTGTTACTCTTTTCCCAGTCAAAAATCTACAAGTTATGCATAACAAACATGCAGACGTGTTGTTTGCATGTTTGCAATTCTTCGTCACAATTGCTCTGCTTATATGACTTAGACTTTCATTTATAGCACAGAATTTACTCTTATACAGCTCTGTATGGATGTAGGTTGGGATGATTCGGTATTTGGATTGCAAGAGGACGGATGATAGATATGAGGTTGGGGGTCTTCAGAGGCTAAGGATGGTTTTTGTAGCAGTGGAATATGAGGGAATGGGGCTGGAGGGAGCTGAGGCTGCATGAAAAGAAGTGATACAAGCCCGCGGGTTCTGATTCAGGGTTATTAACATGGCTTGGTGTGAAGACAGAGAGAGGTATGGGGCGGGAAGAGCTGAGCAAGACAGCTGGGCCTCGAGGAGAAGGCAAGTTGATGGGGCTCTGGTCCTGAGATAGGGCCGTGAAAGGATCTGGGTCTCGCTCAGCCTGGTGCCTCTGTGGCAGATGCTGCAGCAGACTGGATGAGGGGACCACCACTGACACAATGCTGGCGGCTAGAGCTGTGTGCTCCTGGTAGACCGAAACCACCTCTCTGTCTGGCTCTCTGTCTCTCTCTGCTTTAGTCTACCCCTCCCTCCTTCTATCTTTTCTCCCTGTCTCCAGTTCTTCCTCTTCCTCCTCCTTTTTTTTTTATATTGTGAACACCATCATCAGTGCTTACAGCTGCACCTCCTACACTCAAATCCACATACACACACACAGCAAAAACATGCTTGCTGCTGACACACACACAAAAAAAACTGTGCGTACGTGGAGTACAAAAATTATAAGCTTCAAATGTTCCAAAGCAAATGGCTGAAACAATTTTTTCCCTATTTGCTGACAGTTGTGCTACCTCCTGTAATAAAAAGTCAATGAACCAAGGGCAGTCAATATATTCCAATAACAAAGACGGGGAGATTTGTCATTTTCCCACTCTGTTTTTTTTTTTGATGGAAAAAACATGCCTTTCTTCTTTAGCATACAAAGAAGCGGGCGGCGGCAGAGCCGCAGATGCACACAAACACAGTTGCGCTGTCTCTTAAAAAGGAGAAATCTAGGGGAAAATGCCTGCGCCCCCCGCAAAATGCAACCTGAGGAGAAGGCATCTGACTGTGACAAACCAAATACGCTCTGTAATAGAATTTTCCATTTCGGCAAAACTGATAAGGAAGAGAAAACATAACAACTGCGAGTGGCACATATCTGAAGGAGGTGATTTCAAAGAACAACACCAGTGCACTCCAGAAGGCTCCTCGCGCTGAGTTCTTACATAAATATGCCGTTAAGCAATATGATGTATTATTATTACCTGAAAACACGCTCTGAGCCCGGGTAGGCAGCATATGAGCCAAGCGCCTTAGCTCCCCAAAGGAGATTGTCTCGACATCACATATCAGTCGGTGCTATTGGATTCCCTGACTTTTAACTGGGTTAACCCACTTCCTGGTGAATACAAATTCAATTTTAACTGCTGCAGTTTTTTATTTGCCATGCATGTACCCCCTCCTTTACCTTTTCACTTGCCTTGTTCTCAATAGACTGGCATAACCACATAGAAACAATTTTCCTTTATTGAGTATACACAAACTATAAAATTAAAATGATTGTATAGTATGGGGAGTGCTGAGCTGTTTCATCTCTGTGGGTGTGATGTGATGTTTAGAAATGTCTATCATTTGAGGACATATGTAGTGATCCGTCCAGATTATGGCTTGTGGATGTCTCTTTTGCGTCGCCCAATCGTTATGTTATGCGCGGGTGAGGATCTCATAATCGCATCTAGATTCTCTTACTTTCTCTCGTTGTCCCATATTGTAAACGTGATTTTTTATGGAGCCTCATTCTGGTGAGACATATTTTAGGCTAAAGATGAATCTTAGTCTAATGTTTTATTCCTTGTTTCCTGGCAAGTTTAATGGAGCACCCATTTAGAATAGATACCATCTTAAGTGTTCCAGATTTGACTTGATGCCCATCCAGCTCTAAATAATACCTTTCATGTCTTTTAAAAAAAATCATTTGTCACAAAATCCAAAATAGATCTTCTCAATATAATGAATCTAGATTAATGAGAATGGTATTATTATTATTAACTGCCATCTTTGTGGTAGATTTAACATGTTTGTTATAGCTGTTTGTCATCAGACACTAATTAACAAGCGGAAAACTTTCCACACTGCATGTTTTGGAAAACTGAAAAAAACTCAAACTAATCTTCTGATGTGTCCAAAACTATTCAAAGCTCTCCAAGAATTCCAGCCACGAAGGACACACTCCGGTGGGACCTTATGGTTTTTCCAGGCACCTTCAATGTACGCTTTGAGAGACACTGAGGATCTTAGACACACCACTACAGTTGTTGTTTTTTTTCTTTTTAACTGTCTTCCAGGGTCTGTGTGACTGTCTTCTCAATGGGTTAATGGCTTTACCTCAACGAACGAAAGGCATGTAGATTTTCTGTGTAAGTCTGAGTCTGACGGCCTAAACAAATGTCCAGTAATCGAAGAGGCTAGGATCTATGAAAGAGCCTGTTCAGAGAGTCAGTTCATAAGAGGCTTTGGCCTACTACATGCTGTATATAGGGTATTTAGTATTATGAAGGAGTTAGCTGAAGAGATGCGCTTATATGTCGATATGGCTGTTGGTACTGTTTATGACGTGCTTAACTCATACATGATGAATGCTCAAACGCATAGCTGACCCAAATCAGAATAGAGCTATGTGGCACTTTTTTGCTGAAGTAAGAATTCCTAGGCCACTCACACACATATCATCCTCATACCGAATGTAATGGGTCGATAAGACAAACAACAACCGGTGCATTGATACATGGCGGCGTCTGTGCACCTCGAACCTACAACCCTGTGCGCGGCTATCATCGTGTTAAGTATGCTGGTGGTATTATTTATCTCAATCTCTTACAGATAATTTCCACACCTATCACGCGACCTGCCTACAGCGTCAGCGCCGTAACACATAGTGACTTGTCCCTGCATGGTGAGCGCGCGTCTAGTAATGCTATCACGCACACGGCCACCGCAGTGTACAACCTATTCTTGAGTGGGTTTAGCATGAGACACCTGCTGCCTACTGAGCGAACAGAGCAGACCCGGCCCCACTTTACATTGAGCTGTGTGGAGAGGGTACACTCCATGAGGTTTCTGGGCGTGCAGATCTCTGATGACCTCTCCTGGACTGCAAATACTACAGCGGTGGTTAAAAAGGCCCAGCAGCGTCTCCACTTTCTGAGAGTGCTCAGGAGGAACAACCTGGAGGAGAGGCTGCTGGTGACATTTTACAGAGCCACCATAGAGAGCATCCTAACGTACGGCATAACAACATGGTATGCAGGGTGCTCAGCTGCAGACAGGAAAGTACTGCAGAGGGTCATCAACACAGCCCAGAAGATCACTGGCTGCTCTCTGCCCAGCCTGGAGGCCATTGCAAACTCTCGGTACCTCAGCAGAGCTGGCAATATCATCAAGGACCACTCTCACCCCAGTAATCAACTGTTTGAACTATTACCGTCAGGCCGACGGTACAGGTCACATAAAACCAGGACAAACAGATTCAGGGATAGCTTCTTTCCCAGAGCTATCACCGTAGTAAATAAGCACAAAACAATTG